TTCTGGCGCCCGCCCGGCCCCAGCCGGTCCCTTCCGCTTGGCAGGAGGCTGCTGCCAGCACCGCAACCCCCGGAAGAAGCTTTGCTGTCCCCAATCCCCCCTGTGCCCCAGCCATGGCTCAGTGGCTCTGCTGACCCCCAGGAGGGGGTGCAGGCAGCCCCAGTGATGCTCAGGGCAGAGGGCAGCCCCTTCCCCATCATGTTGGCCATTGGGTCCAAATCTGCTCTTCGGCTGGGAGTCAGGGATGGGGTGAGCTGCTTGGACCCACTCCTGGTCCCTCCTGCACCCCTGCCTGGGCGTGAGCCCGCCTGGCTGGAGCAGAGCTGTGCTGGAGGAGCGTCCTGGGGTGCTGACACTGAGGATTTCTCCCTCACAGGTGGATCATGCCAAGGTGCTACACTACATCGGTGCGGGGGTGGCCTTTCCCACCAGCATGCTGTTCGTGCTCCTGCAGTCCATCCTCACCTACCGCATGGCCAAAACCCGCGGGCAGTACTGGACTGGACACTTACGTAGCATCCTCACTGCTGTGGCCTTCATCACCCTCATCTTCAGTATCCTTATGAAGGGTGTGGGGAGGAGATGTGGGGTGGGCTGGTGAAAGGTGTCCTTGCAGGGGAGTATGCACCTCGTGTCCTCCATTCTCTGGGGCTGGGCTGGGGGCTGAGGGCGGACAGCTCGCTGCAGGAGTGGGATGGGAGAGCAGCAGTATGGGGCCATGCCGGGCAGCCTGAGGTGTGAGGGCTGCGGAGGGGCAGGGATGCTGGTGAGCATCTCTCTGAGAGCTGGGGTGCCCCAAACCAGCCCTGCCCTGGCTGTCATGGCCCAGCCCAGTCACTGCTGCAGGCTCCAGCCCTACACCTTGCTGAGTGGAAGGGCTGGTTAATTGGCTTTTTAATGAGACTAAGGTATTTTGAGCCTTTGGCAATGCAAAGTCCATCTGAGCTACCTATATGACCGAAGCCAAGTACAGAAGTGCTTTGTGTGGGTGCCAGGTGGGCACGTGGCAGCACCTGTGCTGGATGGGGCTCACCAGCACCTCTGTCCAACCTGCCCATGGGATGAGGGAGGGCTCGGTGAGCCGCTGCTGGGGCCTGCAAACACTGCACCAGGGAGGGAGGGCACGGCAGGGGCTGGAAGAATAGTTCCAAGTGTGTGGCCAGAGAGCCAGGGGCTTATTTGGGTCTGAGGTTAGGGATAAATTGGGAAACAAGGTGCTGCTTATTGAGCAGGAAGGGGAAAAAGCATGTGGTGTCTGTGGGTCCTGAAGTGACTGGCTGGGGTCTGGCTGGGGCAAGCAGCACAGGAAGAGTCTGGGGGTTGCGGGTGGGCCTAGGACGTGCCAGAGGGTCCCGCTCTGTCACCACAGCGGGCAGGCAGGCCGGGAAGCGGGCAGGAAGCTGGGAAGGGCAGGAGTGCCGCAGGCCATGCCAGCTGGGAGGGACAGGCAGGGCATGTAAGGACAAGGGAGACAGGACTGGTGCCTGCCTGCTGCGGCCATGCTGCTCTGTGAGCACTGGGGACTGGAAGCAGGAAAGGAGTGAGCTGTGGTGGGAATTGTGGGGAAAGGGCTGGGACCTCTCCTGGTGGGATGGGGGCAGCAAGCCCCCATCAGGTCAGGTCAGGTTCCTGCCTCTCTGGCTTTCCCAGATCTCTGTCTCGCTGGCAGGAGGCAGGGCATGGCCAGAGGTGCCCTGAAGGGCACAGGGGATGTGCCTGCCTTCTCCCCTCACCTGTGGTGGCTCTGGGAGTAGCTTTCCCTAGAGATCCCCAGTGGGGATGAAAGGAGCACAGAGAAGCTCTGGCAGCAGTAGGACCTGAGGAGAGGGAGCAGGCCCCCTCTCTGGGGTGAGCCAAAGCCAGCAGCACAGAGGGACAGGGACTGCTGCGGGCTGGGATGCCCAATGTCCCTTACTAAGGGGATGGAGGACTGATGAGTTTTATCGACTTTGCATCCTGCAGGAGGATGGGGAGTGCCAGCCTGGTTTGAGGAAGATGTGAGGAGTGTGGGAGGGTGAGGCAGTGGGGTACCTGGCTTGCCCTTGCCTCGGCCTCTGCAGAAAATCCCCGCCTGGCGTAAGTCCTGTGATTTACTAGGGCTGGTTTCAGCACACGTGTCACTGCCTCACACATGCCAGGGCCCTCCCAGTGCTGAGGGAGGCATGTTGGGTTTCTTGGTTTTAGGGGTGGTGGTATCTTTCCTACAGAGGGGTGCTTCTCACAGCCACCCCGGCGTGCAGTGGCAGTGGGATGTGGTCCTCCATGGGATGGTTGGGGTCCAGCTGTGCTTTCCTTGACAGGTATGCCCTCAGGTGGTGTGTTCTTCATCCAGGAGAGCTTTGTCCTGCAGCACGTGGCTGCCCTGTGCGAGTGGATGTTCATCATTGATGTCCTGGTCTTCTATGGCACCTTCACCTTTGAGTTTGGGGCCATCTCCACCTGCTGAAAGCCAGCCGGGCCCCCAAAAGCTACAAAGGCGAGAGTGGTGTGTCCAGCACAGCCCACATCCATAGTCATGCGGAAGGCCTGGCTATGGCCTGACCCCAGTGGGAAGCAGGCTCACAGTGGGGACCCCCAAATTGGGCTCTGCTGGTGACTCCCCCACCTTGAATGTCTCTGAGACCCTGGCTGCCTCGGGATGCGTGTGTGCGTGGGAGTGCACACGTGGGCCTGCAGTGCCCTCCCCTCCTGGTGGGAGCTGCAGCCAGGGCTTCTCCGGCAGCTGGTGTCCACTGCAGGAGCTGCCCCCTCCCTGCCTGCAGGGTTTGGGGTCACTGCGGTGCTGCCAGCCCGGTGCTGCTATTGGCAGAGCTGGGATCTGCCCCTGAGCCTCTGGGGTTGCCTCTGCTGAGCTGGGAGCTGTAAAATGCAATCAAAAACCCAGAGTGCCTTTTCCCTTCCTCAGGAGGTGATAGCAGTGCCGGTCTCTCTGCACCCCCAGTGAGGATGGCAGCAGGGGACTCTCTGCCTGCCTGGGTAAGGGTAGTGCCTTGTGCTGCTGCAGGATGACACCAGCCACCCCCATGGCTCTCACTGCTCAGGGCCTTCCATGCCTCCAGCCAATGGCATTCCCACATTTTTCAGCTTGGAGGAGAATTGCTAAGGCAGGTTTCACCTCCTGGGCCACAGTATTCCAGTGCTGCCTTGTGGTCAGCCAGGTTAGGAAATGGCTCTCTGCATCTACTGTCACACCAGGGATGTTCTGCAGGCACAGTGCCAGTGGAGCGGTGGGTTTCACCTCCATAGTGCTACCGGACGAAGCTGTCCGGCAGGGGAACCTTCACGCCCCAGCCTCCCACCCTGGGGGTGGGCTGCTGCCAGCCCTCCCGGCCTGGGAGTGCGGGCACGGAAAAGGGAAACACTTCTGTAGGAACAGAGGAAGCCCATGCCCTGTTATGCTGGGACTCCCAAATCCATCTGGTGCCTTCCCCAGCGCCCAGCCCAGCGCCTGCCTGGTGAGAGCCCATCCCGCTCAGCCCTGGCCTCCTTGGGCTGAGCCCCAACCTGAGGCATCCCGGGCAGGGGCCTGGGGTGGAGAGGGGGGTGAATATGTCTGTGTGTGTGTGTGTGTATATATAGCTCTACATAAATATATATACACACATGTATATATATAAGTTTTCCCTTGTCCCTGGAGAGGGGCATTTGCTGCTGCTGTGCGCATTGATCATATTGGGCTTCTTGATTTGCCCACTGTTTCAAAATCTGCCTATAAATCCACCCGTATATGTAGTTCAAAGAGGAGCATTTCTGACTTTTATATCTAATATATGTTTTTAAAATATATGAAGAGACAACAGTGAATTTACAATAATAAAAGTGAAAATCAGCCAAGGGCGAGACAGATAATCCCTCCCGGAGACTGAGGTTGTGACTGGCTCT